AATCAACGAAACGATGAAGGTGAATTCAAGCACTGCACTAACTTATTTACTTTAGTAAGGGAGGAGGGGTGTATCTTTCTTCGACGAGTTATTCTCGGTGGCTTTGCGTCTGTGACCGGCACCTATAGAATCGTGGTTATTTTTTTCTACCCCCAGGTAGTAGAGAAACACCTGTTGCTTGCTAGTACAGTCGTTCACTCTTAGCTTATAGGTCAATCGACTGGACGGCTGTGCTTTTCCGAGGCTTAGTGTGTCCGAGGCATCTCGCACGGAAGCAAAAGTGGCAGCCTTCATTTTTGTCTTATGTATTTTAGCTTTGATGCATGACCACAAAATAATCAGTGGTCCTGTGAAGAGTGCAACCATCCTCTCGCATGATCTGGAAAACAGCAAGTCGTGGCGTTGGTTGGTTCGATATGTAAGAGGATTAGCAAATTTTCAATAGTACGTCCATGAACCCCAAAAGCGGCATACCGATTTTTTTTTTGTGGGCGTCGGGAACCACGTGACAGCCACTGTCTTTTAAGAACCGGGGCGAACGCCTTTAGCACTACTGACGTGCCCAAGTAACTGCCGCTCTTCAAAGCTTAAGGGTCATTTCGCAGTTTAAATGTCAAGCCTGCCAAGCCCATGGCTTCCATTATCATGAGCAGTCAGCCACTCAGGATGATGAAATGTTGCGGAAAAACGGCGACATCATCCAATACACTAAGGAAGACTGCCATTTCAATTTCGCGAGGACAACGTGCATCATTTTCTGAATTGTCGCTGGAGTGGTACACAGACCAAATGGACGCAGTTAAAGTTATGCAGAGTGGCATGTTGTAAGAAATTCACTAAGTGCTTTAAACTCGTAGGGGCCATTTGGTGTTATGATTGTGGTCTTTTCACGGTTCCGCTCATCCACTTCTATTTGCCAATATCCACTCTTAAGATCTTGAGAGGGCGCCACAGCAGTGATCTAGTGACTAAGGTCGTGGAACCGAATCCCGGCTGCAGCGACTGCATTTTCGATAGAGATGAAAATGCTGTAGGCCCGTGTGCCGAGATTTGGATACACGTTAAAGAATCCCAGGCGATTGAAATTTCCAGAGCCCTCCACTACGCGGTATCTCATAATCATATGGTGGTTTTGGTACATTGAACCTCCACATATCAATTTATCATCAATAAAACTTGGGGTGGCAAGTTAGCACAACACAGGTGATCGAGCGCATCATCTTTACGCAATGGAGGGTACACACACTGTTTAGTTACGCTGTTCAGTTTGTGATAGTCGACATGGAATTAAAGTGTATTATATTTTTCTTAACAAGCACTACAGGAGATTCTAACGGACTGTTGGAAGTCGCGATGGCGTCATCTCAAATCGTGTCTCCTACTTGTTTTTATGGTTTCTCTTTCCTTTTTGACACTTGAGATGTGTGCTGGCGTATTGGTCTCACAGCATCTTGTTATGATCCTGTGCTTTGTAACCGATGTGTGTTGCATCTTTGATGAAGTGGAAAAGCAGTCAGCGAATTCTTTTGTCAGGGCGTATATACGTTTCTTTCAACCTTCCGGGAGATAAGTTTTAATGATAACTGATGCGTGGATGTTGCAGGTGACACATGGAGCAGCTGATGCTGTCGTTAAGCTGCACAGTTCGGTTGCCATGCAGCACTCCTGAAAATAGGCGATACCTCGGGTGATCTGTTTGTATTAAGTTCTAAAATTTGTAAGTGGGAAGTATGCCCGACCATTATTTAAATAAAGAAGGGCACTAGTGATGCTATTTTTTATTCAAGAGCACGCCTACGTTTCCATCCGCTTCGTGAAATGTTTCATTGTATACAAGCAACATTGCACTGCCGCGAACCTGCGCAGTTACGTTTTCTCAACAAGGCGTCGCTTCTCGACTTCGACAGACATAGCTTGTTTGGTTGAGAATGAGACACTCCATGTACGCAAGTTAATTATGTCACCGTCACCTTGCAGAAAATGCATTCCCAATATGAGCTCCTTGGAGCATTCTGGCCGTACAATGAAGTCAGCAATGCAAGTAAAGCCTCTTATATGGAGCCTGGCCATGCACTTGTGAAGGGACGTAATAGTGACTACCTACCGTGTGTGTATCTGCGACCCACTATTTCGTGACAGCCTTCTTCAATTGCTTTTCCATTTTGCGACTCATTACAGAAGAATCAATGCCGGTGTCAACCAAAGCATTCAGCTCGTATCAGGCTATTTTTCAACCGCAAGTCTGAAGTAACCTTTGCGCTACTGCTCTCATCCTCAGCAAGCATAGCATCGTCATCCTGAAACCATGGTGGAGGGTCTTCGTATAACTGCCGTTATCAGGCACCTCACCTCCGCAGGTTGCTTGCTTCAGTTTTCCGGGTGTGTGTTTAAAGAACAATTGCCAGGCCGTATGGAAGACGCACATGGGCGGGATTGTCAGTAACGCATTAGTGACGGTAATCTTGGGTGATGTTGGCGTTGAGTACATAGACTCTGGCACATGGACAGATATTCTTCGATATCTGCTGGCCGATCATTTTGAGGGCGTGGTGCGTACAATAGAAATCCGCCTAATCTAGCCTGTCACTAACGGCAGACCAATACAGGTGCCATGCTTTTCCACAATGATAATACAAAGGCCTGCGCTCATGGTCACGGCAGATGTCACTTTTCCGGGGCCTTTGATCTACATAGCGAGTAACGCTATACGCGCTGGTGGGTGGCAGATAGCCCACGGTTCCCGCAGATGAGGAGCGCTGCGTACTGTCCATGAGCAAAGAGCCGCTATCGCAACTACCACATTGCTATGAGCCGCGGGTTGCCTGAGCACCTCAGAATATATTAGGAGGCGTCGGATCGGCTGTGGCTGACATTGCGGTTTCCGTAAGACCTGCCTCAATTCATCTCGCACTGCGTAGACGACAAAAAAAGCGCTGCTGTGTTTTGAGGTGCTTTCAACGTGCTGAGTTCTACTCTGATCACCGATATGATGAGTTAACGCAGGGCAGAGGAGAGATTGGCAGAGTTTCAGTGTATGTCATGATTGTACTGCCAAGCCCGCTGTTCTAGCATTTTCTCGATGACTGTCACTTCCGAATGAAACTCCGCAACTGTGCGTGGTGGGTTGCGGACGACAACGGCTTGCTTCACCACACGCATGAGATGGTGCAGCTTCTTCATCCATGTTGGAATTCGCACTCATGAAGAGGCGGATCACGTCCTCGATGTACATTGCAACACTTTCGTTGGTGAGCTAGTTTCTCGTTTGCGCCTTTTCTGGGCGATCGATGCTGGCATAAGTAGCCAGCACTGGTCGCCCAAATTCATCCCAGGTGGACAAAGAGGTCTTACGGTTCTTAAAGCACGTCTGTGCAATGTCATTCAAAGCAAAATATACAAGGCGGAGCTTCTCTCACTCATCCCAATTACTCAAACTTGTCATTCTCTCAAAAAGGTCCAGCCAATTTTCAACGTCTTCGAAAGAGTCACCACGGAATACTGGCGGCTAGTGAGGCTGATTGATCAACACGTGTATGGGTGATACCTGATCTGTCATAGTGGCAGTGTTCATTGTTCGAGTTCCCTCTGCGTGAAGTGAGCAGAACTGAATAAACTCCAAGACGATAACTGGCCCTCTGGTCCACAGGTGTCAGCTCTACAGGATTCATCCGCTGATGATCGTGGCTACGCTGTCTTTCGTACGTGGGGCGTCCATTCAAACGCCGCAGATTCATCATAAATGTTGCGATACTAGAGCTAACAGGCTTATAAAACAAACTTATTTATTGGGACGAACCAGTGCTTGTAAGTTAAGGTAACTGTAGGAAAAACTGCGAGTTCGTTGAACACGAAAGAAATCTTAGAACAACTCTTTTTCACTTTTCTCTAGACGTCTCGAGCGCGTACGAGCTGGGTCTGGCCAGGTGCTCGTGCCACCATGGCCTCTGTGCGGCACGGTGAAGGGCGCTGTATTTGAATGCAGGCAATATATCGCAGCAATATTGTTAGGCCTTTATTCCTTTGTCATTAAGGTTCCTGGCCATGGCATTATCAATGTTAGAGAAAGAAAGAAAGGACGAAAGAAAGAAATCTTGACAGCAAGAAGGAACTCCAGGCCTGCGCGGAATGCGCATCACAGCCATGCACACAGAAGCTGGACGACTGGACTTTCTAGAGATGACGAATGCAAATACTCCACTCACTAGGGCTGCGGTGGCAACCTGGGGCCCTCGAGATAGTATTATGGAGCCTTCCGCATCCTGTCGAACATCTTCCTTTATCACTTCCTCTATCCTCCTGTAATTTAAAAGCCGACATGACAGTCTAGACCTACAATGGCGTTACCCCTTGTTACCCTAGTTTGATAGCCACTTCGTGACATACGTGCTGAAAATAAACGTCATTTCTAATTCAGCTTCCTAAATTATTGCGCTTCATCTTTTTCCCTGCCCACAATCTACCTACATCAACCCCTCCCTTTGATTTGAAGTTCGGCCTCTCGCTGTGTTGCATTCGCGCATCTTGGCGCTCTGCCTGATAATGTCTCAACTCTAGCGCATTGATCTAGGAAGCCTAAAAAGGCATGCGTGTTATGAAATTTGCTGGGCAAATTCTGTGCTCAAAGAAGGCACATTTGGTCCAGCGTTGTGTGTGTCTGCCTAATTGTGTCCAGTGGTTCTGCCGGCTTTGCACCCAATATCATGAACCAACTAATCAACTGACTGAATATATATATATATATATATATATATATATATATATATATATATATATATATATATATATATACTGATGTGACCCTCTACGGGCGACTACGAATACCCATTACACTATGAATCATAAAACTAGGCAAAATAGAACAGCACCCACTAAAGCATTATTAACAATACGCGCAGAAGCGAGGTACCCACTACGCCACTGCAGACAGACAGCCAGGCTCAAAGCTGCCTTTGTCTGCGCAATAAATGTTTCGCATAAATAAGATTCACCAAAAAGCTCACATAGGCTTATATCCTCCAAGCCGGGCCACCGTGTCTGCGATGAAGGCAGGTAAATTGTGGTCCAGCTGCACCGCCACCGAGTGCCAAAAACGCGTCGTCTTGAAGCTGCCGCCCGGGTACCGGAACACCTCGCTGCTCGGGTACTTGAGGACAAGTGGCTTTGAATAGTCGAAAATTTGCTGCCAAGTCAGGCGTCGCATGGACCCCGAAGTGCAGTTGATGACGAACGGGCTGACTGGCTTCGCCTTGCACATGTACCACGTGGCCGTGATCATCATGTTGGCCACCATGTCCACCGGGTAGATGTCGGCCGAATTGTTGGGCCGCAGGTACATTGTACGAAGAACACCTTTGCCAGTCTGGGCAGAAAAGAGACCATCAAATATTCACACCATACGCGAACCAGTGTTCGACCGCGCCAGAACTTATAAATGTCACAATAGTAGTGGTAAACCGTAATTTCAGGCCACAATGATTCCCGAATAATATTCCCGAATGCAACGGTAAGCTATTGCACAAGGATTCACTTGACGCTGTCAAAAATGTATAAACTATTATCTAGGTGGAAGAACGCGTCCTGCTATAGATGGGAAAACATGTCAGAAGTACTGAAAACAGCATTGACATATGGTATTGCGATAACACGGAAATTTCGTCGGAATATACTTTTGCACTAGTTCGATCATATTCGCAGTAAAGTAGCACCTAGTGCACAGCGCCTTTTGTACGTGTCTTCTCCTCACCTGTTGGTGACTGATAATATTTTACTGCCATGACAGCTGCACAAAAAACAAGCATGGTGGTCCTAATAATGCACTGGATTATACGATAGCCGTTTTATGAAAGCAGAGGCGCATTACTGCTTGTCAGCTTATCAAAAATTGACAATCTGACAGCGTGAATTTTCGTACCTTGTATTTTGATTCTGAGGATTGAGTGCCGCCAAAATAAAGGGTTTGGTTTAGAACAAGTCTGCCACTGCCTTCGTGAACGTCATCAAATTGTGACAGCTTTTTTAATGTGAATCATTTCTTAGAGAACTTCGGCGACTGAGCGTATGTACGTCCATCCGTCATCCATCCGTCCGTCTATCCGTCCGTCCATCCGTCGGTCTATTCATCTGTCAGTCCATCCGTTGGTCTATCCGTCCGTCCATCATCCGTCTATCCGTGCGTCCATCCGTCCGTCCGTTCATCCATCCATCTGTCCATTCATCCACCCGTCCATCCATCCGTCAATCCGTCCGTCCATCCGTCCATTCGTCCGTCCATTAATCCACCAACCCACTCATCCACCCACCCAATCACTCATGAACATGAACGACGAAGGTAAATGACACTTTAAACATGATAATAATTACATGCAAGTCAAGTAAAACATCGCTACAAATTACGCTGATAGCGTGCTTGCGGACTTTCACCAGCTTCACATGTACCAAATTTAATATCCCGTGACATCGATAGGCGACGAAGATAAATGACACGTCCAAATATGCTAATTATGACATGCGTGCTACGTAGAACATGACTAAATGTTACGCTCATAGGGCGCTCGAGGCCATTTTGCTCTAGCTTCACATATATCAAATTTGGTAGTATGTGACGTGAATAGATGGCAATGATATATGACTGGCCTAAACATGATAATCAAGACATACGTGCCATGTAAGAACAAGACTACACACCATGCCCATGATGTGCTCGGGACCGTTTTGCTAGCTTCACATATACCAAATGTAGTGTTACATGATGCGAACGGACAAAAGGAGATATGACAAGTTTTAAGGTGATAGTCATGACATGCGTGTCATGTAAAACATGACTACATGCTACGCTCATAGTGCGATCGCGGCAGTTTCACTAGCTTCACACATACCGAATTTGGCGTTACGTGACATGAATGAATAACGAAGGTACATGGTTAGTGCAAAGATGACAATCTTGACGTGCGCGTCATGTAAGAACATGAGTACATGCCACGCTCATGATTCATTCGCGGCCCTTTCGCTGGCTTCGCATATACCAAATTTGCTAATACGTGAAGTGAATGAAGGACGAAGGCATATGATCGGTGCAAACATGATAATCACGACATGCGTGTCAAGTAAGAACATGACTCCATGCCATGCGCTCACTATGCGCTCACAGCCGTTTCACAAGCTTCACAATTACCAAATATGGTGTCATGCCCCAGCGAAAGGACAACGAAGGAAATGACACGTTCTAACATGATAATTGCGACATGCGTGCCATGTACAACATGACAACAGCGCCACGCTCATAGTACACTTGCGGCCGTTTTGCTAGCTTCACATATACCAAATTTGGTATTACGCTGACGTGAACGGATGACGAACACACATGCCAGGTGCAAACATGACTGCATGAAAGTACGGCATAATTTACATGCATACTCTGCTGGGGCTGGTATTGCGAACGTTAGTGGTGCTGTCGTATATGCGACTGAACAACACTGTGTAGTACACCCATGCGCCTCGCAACGTTCGGCTGAGTTTGAAGTGATTTATCAAACATCCCCATTCGGGCTTCGCATATCATCGATTTGCGCTGTGCGTTGTATCTGCCAATTTTTTATTTTTTTGTTAATGTGAAAGTTGTTTTAAGTGCTACAAACAAGTCCCAGTTAAGAAATAGTAACTCTCCTGTAAAGAGACGCGGAGAGCAATGTGTCGCCAAACACAGAACAAAGTTTTTGTAATCTGCGCAGGGCGTTCTGCATAGAATACTCAAACATTGAAAAAAGACAAATCAAAGCTAAGGAATCAATCAATCAATCAGCTTTTATTTCTCTTTGAGAATTGATGGGGGTAGCAGAAAAAAAAGTTTGCTTCCACAATCTTCAGTCTGGTGATATCGACATAGTTCTGACTAAAGTGCGCATATCAAAGCCAACGTCAACTTTAGAGACCACATTTATGGCGACATGACGGAATTACGCTAAAAAATTGCGCATACTGGTGGTCCTTTATACTGTCGCGTTTGAGTGCGCGAATATTGTTCTGCTGTCGCGTTTGAGCACGTGCGTGACGTGGACCAGACGGAAAGATGCAAAAGACGGCCTTTACCTAAACATGGAATTAATATGAGTAACAGAAAAGAAGGCTTCCTTACACATTATGCCAACACATGTAGGTGTGCTCTCCAGTTTCAAGAGACAGTATTTTTGGTAACACGAAGTGAGCATATTCAGGTTGGCTGCTCAGAAAAAATCCGCAGCTGAGCGAACCACCAGTTTCACCATCTGACAGGAACTTTTTGGAATGCACAACAAGCCGCTGTGATTGTGAAGGATATTTGCTGTTTTAGCGTCAGCCCATTCACCTAGTTCCATTTATGACGATTCCTTCAAGTACTTATAATTGCTTTCATGCCAATCCAAATTCAGTTGAAAATCAGCGCTTGTTTTGCGTGTTTTCTTTTTCTTTTTCCTTGCGCTGTTATCTTCAGTATGAATAACAAAGCAGCTGGTATTGAATGATATTCTTCTGGCGCACGCTAATAGGGTCGCATGGTTTTTCTTGTCCACACATTATACAATGGGTTAAGATAACGAACTCACTAATATGGGTTTATCGTTTCTGGACCACGTAGGAATGCGCCATTAGGCACCGTTTATAGTAAACGGACGTCAGCAGGAAGACTCTATCCTCATAGAAACTGGCCCGCTCGAAGGTTAAAATGCTCTTAAGCGGCTGGTGAACGGGTTTTTGATCGAACAATTAAAATGAGGCCACGAGCAGTAAACTTACAGCAATGATGAAGCCGGCAGGTCCATTGAAGTTGTCCACCCAGCCCTGCCAGAGAAGAGAGTAAAAATGATTTTTTTTTGTGCCTTTTCACTGTGCCGCTAAGACAACATGGCACTCCGAGTTTAGATAGAATTCAAACTAAAAAATAAGTGCTAAGGACAGAGTGAAACAATACTATATTGAGAAGTAGATTCAATTTAAGTGGGCAGGAGTTACAGTAGAGATAAATTTTTAAAAAATGTTGGTGGTATACATGAAAAGAAAACTGAATTCAATTCTATTTCCTTATGTTGTTCGAACTCCGGAGGCTGTTGAATTGTGAAACTTCATTGGCAAACTAGGTCTGAACAGCGACTCTCCTATATATGCATGACCTGTTCCAATAGCTCTAAAAGACCGCCCACTTCAATAAAAAAAACATAGTTGATCCCTCCATCTAAAAATTAGTGAAACACGAAAGTAAAACGTGTCCAATAATAGCTTCATGTCGGGCTAGTTTGTGTTGCATCCAAAACATTGTATTTTTTAGGGCAAACAAGAAAAAACGCCAGGCCTGGACAAAAGGCGCAGCGCAGTCACAGCAAAAGCTAGGAGAGCGGCCTTTCAGAGCCTTTTCTAAACACTCACTGGGTATCTGCTGCAAGCACACAATTGCTTGATGCCAACTATGGAATTCATACCAAACATTTCAGAGTAGTATGCTATTTTTCGTCATTCTTCTGAGAAGCCTGGTATCCACTAAACTATTGCGAGGAATTGTGTGCCAATAATTATTCGTGCAGTGGCTGACGACGATGAGGAATTATGCCTGAAGTGGAATTGGACCACATTTATCGCTGAACGAAAACAAACTTCGTAATAGGTTGGAGCATTGGATGAGCCACTCGTTACGTTATTCGCATTGTGCGGCGACTGCTTGCTCTTTCACTGCTTTAAAACACTTTATAAGTCGGATTGATGCGAATTGCTTTCCCGACATCAAGAATGCCCAAGGCAAGTTAGCCAACAAGCCTCAAGAACCGGTGCGGCTCAGTGATAGAATACTGCACTCGCACCCAGCAGGCCTGGGTTCGAGCCCCACTGTGTCATTGGTACTTGGTGTTTTTCTAGTTTCAGCGCGATCTTGTTATGGGCGGCGGCGGCGGTGGATGACTACGATGCTGCGCGACACCAGAATTGTGATTTCATGACAGCTTTCATTGTAAGAAAGAAAGGACTGTATGAGAAGAGAAAAAGACAGTGCTAGAGAAGGCATTAAAAACAGCAACTGGCCTTATTTCAGGAAAACCAAGAAAAAGACAAATCACCGAAAGCAAAGTCGGAGCACAGCTACTGAATCTTCCATCTGAAATGTCTGAACACGTTGCTGAACAAATGAATGCATGTGTCACTAATACACTCTGCACTCTTGCTCTTGATATAAGCTTCCAGCAACTCTTTTTCCAAGGCATCGTCACTTCTGCCCAGGATCTTAATCTGGCTTAACCGCGGTCAACACGTGCAGGCTGAGCAATGGACGGGTAAGAGCGCGTTACGATTTTCTTTCAAAGACAACTTATGTTCCCGCGCACGATCGCTTATGCGCCTCCAGGTTTGACCTACGTTGGTTTTCCCCGTGGTACTGGTACCTAATACACGACGCCTATAGCAGCACGTATCGTACGGCCTGACATGATTATTTTGGAAACCATGCTTCTATTTTTGCATCACATACGCGTGCGCACAGGCCACCCAGTTTCCGAGGGGCAGAGAACTCGACAGAAACGCCGTGCTTGATGGCGACATTTTCAATGGTTTCAATTACCTGTGGATATTAGTTGTGACTTCAGCTCCCAGCCTCACTCGTGCGTCACAGTTAATTGGCTCTTTCATGTCTCTCATCATCTTCGAAATGTTTTGGGATACTGCATTAACGACCACGCATGGATAACCAGCTGCCCATAGAAGCTGTCCTGCATAGTGTGTGCACTTTATCAGAGCAGACTTGAGGAGAAAATACTTCAGTCGACTTTACTTATGCGTTATGAACTGCCGTGGACGTAATGGCATGACCACACGCATCCGTTGCCTTGCATCGCTGCGTGACATTTGACATGGCGCCGCGTCCTCTCACTATGTTGTGAGAGGGTGCGCCGCTTCGCCTAGCGTGGCCATGCGCCCTCTCTCCACATAGGGAGAGAGCGCGGCACCGCGTAGGAAAGCCACACGCTGACACGCTGCAACGGTTGCTTGTGGTAAGGCCTTAACGCATACTTCATGTGCTCAGAGCTTCTACATATTGGTCATAGGAAGGTGACTCCGAGATTCATGAGCCAGCCTTCAAACTCTTGGGCGATGCCTTCATATGTCTCTTCCGGTAGGCAGCGTACGGCCGACTCACGACAGTGTCCGTTTTTTGAACCATGAGAGAGTTGAGAAGGTCAATTTAATTTGGTTATGATCACTTCCCACACTGAACTTCCCATCTTCGTCTATTGTGATTGATGTAGCGTGGTGGGACAGCTTTGGTGACATAAGTACATAGTCGATGCATGAATGGCTGGCTGTTCATAGCAGACCATGTGAATTCACCCTCGCAGTCAGAGCGAAGGTTGGCTATTTTCAAGTTTAGTTCATGAGCTGTCAGGTTCACCAGGTCTCCATTAAAGTCCTGGAACCCGTAAAGTGCCTGCAGGTGGCCATTGAAGTCGCCCGTGAGTAAAACTCTGTCAGCTGCCCAAGGTTGTACATCCATTGACACACATTTCGTAATTAGAGCATTTACATCATGTTGGCCATTGCTCACTGTGAAGTAGACCACATCTACTATCACGGGAATCCCTAGGATGCTACCACGGGGCCACACGTGTTCAGTGCAGGGGCAGGTCAATCTTTTTCACATTGCTCCGGACCACCACAAGATACCTATTCCCCCACCTTTGCGTGTATTCCCTTCGCGGTTGGAGCCGGACCATGCCCAGTTCGGATGTATAGGTGGTTTCTGCAAAACACGAAATTGCGTCTTTGTTAGCGCATAAAGTTTTATTCTTTCACTCTCTAGCATCGCATATAGCTCTTCCCACTTGCTCGACTTTCTTGCGCCATGTCCATTGAGAAGACCCACGTTGGTTTCCTTCACACATACGCCACGGTGGTGGCGACGACGGTGTACATGTTTTACTCCTGACTGGAGGGACTAGGAGACTTTCTGCACTTCACCTGGTCCTATTTCTTCGACATCTGTAGCATCGCCTGTCCGAGGGCTGTCATAAGCGGTGCCAAGGGGTGCGAGTAACCGCTTGTTCGTGTCCGTCGTATTGTAGGTCCAACCGGCTGGAGTCGTAAAAACAGAGCCTGTGTCCCAGGCGTGTGCCCAGTTCCTCAGCAGCGCCGGCCTTGTAGAGCGAGTTGTACATCCCACCTGTCGGCGCTCGTGTGGTGCTTACAAACTCCAACTGTTGGCCTAGTTCGCCACAGACCTTCCAGAGCTTCTCGTTCCACAGCGTGCAGTTGCTCAGCATTACGTGATTAAAGTGTTTCGGTTCAGGAACACGGTACACATTGAAGCGATGCTTATTGGCTCTCGCCTGCCACATCTGCATCCTGAGATTGAGCACCTGTAATATAATACTTGGGGAGGCATCACTGTGCACAATATCGCTGCTTTCGCAATTTACTACCACAACTGCTTGGGGCACTCCAAATGTCCACCGCAGCATCCATTTTATCCATCACACTCTGGAAAGTGGCATCCTTCCATGTGCGGAACTGAACTAGCCTGTTCCACTTCACAGCGCATACAGTGGTGTGCTCATTTTGAAGGCATTCTTGTCTCCATATATGAAAGCACACCGTCCTTCGTTGGGCACCTCCCTGAAGCGCTTCTCTTGTTTGGGCACCTCTTTGTTGGAAGATCCCGTTCCTCTTGAGCTCTCACCTAGCTCCTTACGCTTTTTGTTTCCACAGGTGGGCCTCCACCCCTGGAGCTCCAAGGCACATTCGTCATCCAGTTGGCTACGCTCTTCCCTTCTCGGTTTGAGTGGTTCTGAGCAGCTTCCCGGAAATCCGTGGCTATGCACTTTGTCACGTGTGTGACGTTCATTGTCTTGCTCTCGGGGCAAACATGGCGTGCCGTTGTCCTCCATTGCAGCATGATGCTACCCTTCTGGCTTTTTGGTCCGAGACCCTTCCGCCACGCTCTTCAAGTCATCAAGCTGTGTATGCAGCTGAGGAACCTGCGCCTCGAGATTTTGGTGCATGCAAGTCTCCCGCCCCAGCTGAGAAAGAACGTCTTCTGCTTTGTTTTAGTATTCTCCAGCTGCAACACACACTCCTCTTTATGCTGCCGCAACAACTGCGCGAACTCCTCTCGCAGGACGTTCAGCCGGACGCACTGCTTGCAGTCATAATTTTCTGTCGCGCTTGCCTACTCTACAGTTTCAAAAGGCGTGTCCTCAATGTCGATTCACACATCGTAACTTGTACACGCCACCTAGCTGTCTCTCTTGTAACTGGCTTCGGCGGACGGGCTTCGTTTCACTCGCGTTCTGCCTATGCTGCGGTTCTCGGCCACCTTTAGTGCTCAAATATCCCGCTTCCGTGCACCACCACAATCGAAGTCACGCTGCTAGCGCCATCTGGTATATGCCTCGTGAAGTAGCTTGTTACCGATGGGTCATCGGTCAGTTGGTTAGGCCTACCTTCTAGCTTGCACGGTAAGCTGCACACTAACCAACGGGGACAGCAGACAGAGCATCACAGGATGCACCTCACTCACAGCCCAACACGCCGCACAGCATTTCACGTAGATCGCGGCAAAATCAAACACACATCATTCAAGACGTCACAACGGTGCACACAACGCACAGGCAAAATCACACACATGTCGCCACATTTAGCAACTGCGGCCGCCACGTTGAGGCTCCTAGGTGGATAGATGAATATAGCTGTATCCTTTAGATCGGGCGGTGGCTAGCGCCACCAAGCCGTACTACTTAATGAACCAAAAACTAGATTTATTTTTTCCCTTAAATAGTGAGGTTGAGAATTCGTACTTTGCAGTGAAG